AATCTAATTTTCATTCATTTTTCATTTACAGGCACCAGAATGCATCACCTGCACTTCTAATATTTACCTCTCAACGTAGGACTCTTTCATAAGGGTACATGCACTCTAGTAGTTTTTACGGTTATTCATGGGGCAAAATCTCCACATTTTTGAAAAAAATAAAAAAAAATCCATCTTCCAGTAAAACAAAGCATCCAGCCCACCTCTCCAAATGCGTAAAATGTGCATCCCAGCCGCTAGGAGCGCCGCGCGCACCGTCAGCTACGTCAGCCCAGACAAGAGCAGAGCAACTAGAGACAGAATAGATAATTGTGTCTGGATGTGGATGGAGATTACATTTTACAGCAGCCTGATCATCATTTAAATACGTAAACCATCACCTGTCTTCTAGTCCACGCTATCAGCATTATTTCATTTGGTGTGTGTGTGTGTGTGTGTGTGTGTGTGTGTGTGTGTGTGTGTGTGTGTTTTCCACATAAAACACTGGTCTAACCAACCAGACCAGTGTGTCCAGTAACATATTAATGTTACAATTAAACAGTTACACTTCATGTAGGCTAGGAACGTTCCACCTGCCGTGGCCCGACCGCTTCTGCTCCACATAAACTTTGTGCGTGATCAAATGTCTCTACAGGAGCTTTCTGAGCTGAAGAGGCTATTCTGCCTCAGACTGGATGCGTCATGCGTCTCCATATTAGAGACGGGAACAAGCGCTGTTCAGCCAAAGTTTCATAATCAGAAAACATTTTTCCAGGTGACACATCCCTCAGAGAGACCGGGTTTCCAGAACGCTTCATTGGGAGGAAATCTTACCGCATGCACCGTGGTTCTGCACTGCGCTGCAAACCCCTCTACAGATCTTCAGCCCACTGTCCACCGTGGGCGCTCCAAGCCGTGCTGAACACATGTCCAGTATAAAGCTCTGATGTTCTGATGGGAATCAGTTCTTGGTTTAGTTACCTCTGCGATGTGTGTAACGATTAAAATGTCAGCTCATCTGTGTGCGCATCAGTGTGTGTCGGGGTAATTCTTTCAAAACAACCAACATCCTTGAGTTTACCCGTCAAAATAAAAGTCAAATGGAAATATCTGTAAGCTGCCATTTAACTGTTTTGCCTTCTTGTGAAGATTGTTGCAAAGAGAAACAACTAAACTTGATTAACCCCAGAGCCACGTGCACTGTACTTCTGACTGTAAATGAGGGGGAACGATTTAATCGGATCCTTTTCTTTTCAACATGGTTTCATGTAAAGTTTCATTCAGTACAAACTTTAGTTACACCAATCTAACGAGACAGAGCCTGGATTTGTATTCTGAACATTTAAACATGTTTAAAACGGAGACGTGCGTGACGCGTCTAAAATTCACACCTATTACGGAAATTAAACTAACAAGATGAATAACATAATTATTTTAGGCACAGACAACATCCCCCACACTTTTGAAAAGCTTGCAACGCGCCTGCCCACCAATGTACCCGCTCTGTGCTCGGCAGCACTCTCACAGTCAAACTCAATATTGTTCGTATTCTCGGAACCCGACTTTTTCCCAACGGGTCTCGTGGTTCTTGCAGAAGAATGCAAGCACCAGAGTCTGACAGGCCCGACTTAGAAGTGGAACCCAGGCAAAACAGCTGCGTGTCCCACCAAAATGGCAATCCCGTCCTCTTAATCTCCGCTGTGACGGTGTCTCTCCTCCGTTTTATCGTTTTTTCACAAATATTCTCTTTCAACACTAATCCTCCTTTTTTTGCTGGTCTGCGTCTCTCCTTCTCACTGTCAGTGGGGCAATCAGACACACCTGATCAGATCACGCCCCCCTTTTTTAAAGACACGCTCGCCACAGAGGAAATGACGTATGGCAGGTAAGACAGGACAATAAAATAAAATTACCTGAACTAGCAAACTGCCACAGTAGGCCTATCAGTATCTGCTCTGGAGTGGTTCTTCTCTTATCTTTCGGGGGTTAGGGTTAGGTTCCTTCTCTGTGGCCGTCTCCAAGTTTAGGTCCTCCACCATCTCCCTTACCCATGGTGTCCCACAAAGTTCTGTGCTGGGGCCTCTACTCTCCCTCCTCTATCTACTCCTCTTCAGCACATCCTGAGCTCCTTTAAAGGAATTTCCTACCATTTTTATGCAGATGACATAAAAATATAACATCATTCGCCTTGACAGAGACGCAACCAAAACAAGTAAGACGATTGGGGGCGGCCTCTGCATGGCTGTCAACAGCAGGTGGGCAACCAACCACACAATAATAGAGACTGAGAACTGTGAACATTACAAACTTTTAACAGTGTCTTTTAGACCACGCTACCTCCCACGTGAGTTTACTCAAATCACTGTCATCTTGGTCTATGCACCGGGCCCTGATTTTAACTTAGCTGCTGACGCCATAGCAGATAGTTTTAACAGGGCTATCAACAGAACCGGAGATCAGCCAGTATTTCTTTTGGGAGACTTTAATAAATGTGACATCATAACATATTTACCTAATCTAGGGCAATATGTCACAACAGCCACAAGAGGGAGCAAGATACTAGACCAGCGTTATGGCAGCATCCCAAATGCATACATCTCAAAGTCACGTCCACCTCTTGGTAGATCAGGCCACAATGTACTCTTACTAGTACCAAAATACAGGTCACAACTGAAGACAGGGGAAGTGGTAACAAAAAATATCCAAGTTTGGAATGAGGATTCGAGTGAAGCATTAAAGGGCTGTTTTGAAATGACCGATTGGGATGTATTTTTTAATGACAGTGGAAACAATCTGAACACGCTGACAGATGTAATGACCTCATATATTCTCTTTTGCGAAGAAACAGTCACCACTACCAAGCAAATAAAAATACACCCAAACAACAAAAAGTGGATCACAAAGGAACTTAAAATGTGCCTGGTGGAGAAGAAACGGGCCTTCCTTCAGAGGGACCATGAGCGTGTGAGGGTGCTGGAGAAAGACTTTCAGAGGAAAGCCATCCTTGCAAAAAGGAAACAAACACAGAATGTGGAGCACCAACTCACATCTGGAAATGCTCGTAAGGCATGGCAGGGCCTGAACATCATGATGGGAAGAGACCCTGAGATCCCGCAAGTCAACTGCCATGACTCCATCTCGTTGGCAGAACAGCTGAACGTCTTTTTTGCCCGCTTCAACGGCGTTCACCCTCTTTCCACCTGCCCACCACCATCCTGCGCTGCATCAACCCATACAAGAGCTCTGGCGCTGATGGGCTCCATGGCAGGGATCTGAAAGAATGCTCCACCCAGCTAGGTCGGGTACTCACCAGACTCTTCCAGCTCCTTCTGGACTTTGGCTGTTCCAGAGCAAGGGAAAGAATCTGTGATAATTCCGATCCCCAAGAAAGCTCATGCAAAACAAATGGGGGACTTTAGACCTGTGGCCTTACATCAGTTCTGTGCAAGTGCATGGAAAGGGTAGTGGGTGGATACTTGACAAAATTCATCTCGGACCAGCTGGATCCCCCATTTGCTTACAAGGCAAAACGTGGTGTAGAGGATGCAAGTCTCACACTTCCAAATGCTGTCACTAAGCACATGGACTCTGCACAGCCATACACAAGAATCTTATTCATGGATTTTTCTTCTGCATTTAATACAGTAGACACCAGCATTTTGCTGGAACAGCCTTCAGATCTCAATCTCCACATAAAGCTGCTTTTATGGATCCACAACTTTTTGAAAGACAGACCGCAACTGTCATGAGCTGAACTAGGAAGACCCGTGAAGATGCCAAACACAGTAAAAATAGATTTAAAAAAGTCTTTATTTGCAGCAGAGTTACCAGGAGGGCGAGGCTGGAGACAGAGTCGGGGACAGGCGAAGGTCGAAATGGCAGGCAGCGTGCAAGGCAGGGGTCAGGAGAAAAAAACAAGGTCCGGAGGCAGAAATCAGGCAGGGTGAATCGCTGGAGAGTTTACTGGCAGGGCTGTAAATAATCTGGCAGAGACTGGGTAGCTGAATGGATCTTTTATAGCAGGGGAAGCAGGTGTGTGAGATGAGCTGAGGAGTCAGGAGCAGGTGAAGTGGATGAAGGCTGATTACAGGAACAGGTGAGATGAATGGAGTTGATGGTGGTTGCCAGGGAAACGGGGCTTGTCAGGAGCTTGGTGAAGGGACCAGGTGAGCTGAATGAAGGCTGAAAACTAAGAGTCATGACAACAACAAGTGTTTTTAAGAGGATTCAAATCCACGAAAAGTGTCATTAGCACTGGACTGCCACAAGGCTGTGTTTTGTCTCTAGTGCTTTTCTCAGGCCCTGTCCACACGTAGCCGGGGATCTGCCGAAACGTAGATATTTTTCTATGGGTTGGCCTGTCTTCCACACGAAAACGGATCTTTTTAAAAACTCCAGCCAAAGTGAAGATCTGCGTTTTCTCCGTTTTGGGTGTCTGCGTGTGGACGGACAAAACTGGAGTTTTAAGGTCCGCAACGTCACTTTCCGCGACAAAAAAATGTCAAACGTTTTTGTGAAGCAGCTCGGGATTTTTATCTTGAGAGGCGCTATATAAATCCCTCTTTTTTTTAAATCTAGGAGGATAGAAGGTCATGACAAGGAATTGGGGTTCCGATGTCTGAGTGGTGAACAGGTGAGCCATGACAAAAGATGACAGTAATTAACTGGATGATATGTTACTGAAAAATCTAAAGCAGTTGCTTTAACCCCAGTATTTCTTTTACTGTCAACTGATTAAAAGACATGATTGTTAGTGTTTGACTGATATCTGATTATTAATATCTGATTATGTTTATGTTTATTTATTAATTAATACCTAATAATTAATTGTTGATTAATACCTAATTAATGATAACAGATTAATAAAACCTAATCATTGATCTGTGATTGATGAATGATACCTGGTGGATAATACTTAAGAACTATAAAGCTGTGAATAATGTCTCAAAGCAAATTTTACCCATGTTGACCTGACAAACCAGTCATGTTCTTCACCAGATAACAGGTAAAGGGGAACTCACGTTGCAGACACAGGTGCCGTTACCCAAGTTGCCATCCGAACACACTCCATTGAAGTTGCAGGTCCTGCCCGACCAGCTGGGACAGGCTGAAAGTACAACAAGAACAGAAACAGCAGTGCTGGATGAGGTACTTGATAAATCCTTTAAGACCAGTCAGGTTGGATCTCCATATTTATATAGAAATTCACATCTTATTGGTCAAATGTAGTATAGTATATTGAGCTTAAAAAGCACCTATATTATCCCACTACATATTTGGCGAGCCTAAGCCAGTTTTATTTATATTGTTTTACACTTCCTGTTATTTCTGAATTATTGATTTTTAATAAAAACATTGGTGACTGGGTGGAAATGGGGCAATCTCGTTCTCCGTCACCAGAGGGCACTGTCCCCCCCTATTTCACTCAAGTCTGTCTGTCTGCAGAAGCTGCATTTGTGGCTATTTACTGTTGAAAGGTAAATGTTTTTTTGTGTGTTTTTGTGTTACTCGGCTCAGAGAAAGTCCGACGTTAGCACAGAACAAAACTCTAACCCTGGTTTATCACCTGCGGTTAATAACAGTTCCGACGCCAAAGCTCCGGACTTGATTCCAAAGTTAATACCGGAGATATACCTTTTTGGTTTATTCCAGTCATCAAGTCTGAAGCTGTAGTCGTTTTACCGACTCAGATGTGCACATTCAATATTCCCATCACTGCTAAGCTTAAAATAACTTTTCAAATCGTTTGGAAGAGCTGTCACGACGTGATTTCTGTGTAACTCCCGCTATACCAACAATTAATTATGAGAGCCTATGTGAAAGGAATGCCGTTTGTCGAAGAGGTTGATTTTCCTAATGAATTTAAGCCTAAACACCTGATCTTATCGGTCCAGGCCTGCTAACGTAGCAAGCGAGGCTAAATAGCATTGCCAACGTTGAGCACAGAGGATAACACCACTGAAGCTTCTTCGGGGGTTTTATCAACAATCCGCCGCAGCGAGTCTGCGTCTCTACTCAAAATCCCTTCAGGGTACACTTTTGGCTTCATAAACTGCCTCGTTTTCGCCAATAATACTTAAAGATTGATCAAAACCGCTTGTTCTTTTATTTTGAAGAGCTCGGTGAAACACCAAGTGATGCACTCGTGTCTCTTCCTCTCTGACCACGTTCCTTCCTCCATCCGGTACCGCCACCCGCTGACGTGTTTTAATCCGGCATTTCCAGCAAAGGCTTTTTATCCAGGTTCCATTCATTTTATCACAAAATTATGGTTTTTGTGGCAACCTCAGGATGGCTGCAAACCGGGATGAATTATTAATGGAAACAGTAGCTTTCCAATTTAAACAAGAATTTCCTAAATTTGGATGAAAGGGTCCTATCTTTGGATAAAAGAGTCCTTGCTATTGAGAAAGCTTCCTGTCCTGGGCAGGTTTTACCCCTCTCATCTGCTGATTCATCTCCAGATTTGAAACAAAACCTGCAACCAGATAACAAGCTCCTTGACTCTGACTTCCAGGGTGCAAAATCTGCTCCTGATGTCCTGATGATTAATTCATCCGCCTGTGACAATGGTCTGGCGCCCCCTGGTGTCGAGTCCACCAAACTGTTCTTGGGACACCTCTTGTGGCATGGGAAAGAAGGTAAGCCCCTGGTGCCGGTGACACTGGAACAGGTGCTCCCCTGCAATGCTGTTCTGGACACTGGTTCAGACTACACTCTCATGTGCCATTCTATTTTCAACCACCTCTGCTTTGCTGGTGGAGGAGGAGTTCGGCCTCCAGAACTCACTTCATGTGCAGTAACTGTCCGTGTTTTCACTCGTTGTAACATGATCTTGTCATCCAGGTCTCTCCACTTCACGATTGGTTCTATGAGGTTGACACACCCCATGTACGTCTGTGAGCGTGGTGTCATGCCTTTGGCGTTGACCTTTTGAAGCGCCATGAAGCTTTTATCGACCTGGAAAGGGGGAACTTGGGGCGGGTGTTGAAAAACCACTACCCACTGTTTTGCCTCCTAACCTTGACCTTCACTGCCTTGCAGTTGGTGACCCTGAGCATGAGGAACCAACGTGCTCCCCGCTGAGCTCAGAACCTCTGCCACCCCAACCACAGCTTCCTTCAATTCAATTCAATTCAAGTTTATTTATAAAGCGCCAAATCACGACAAGAGTCGTCTCAAGGCACTTCACATAATAAACATTCCAATTCAGGTCAGTTCATTAAGCCAATCAGAAATAATGTTTCCTATATAAGGAACCCAGCAAATTGCATCAAGTCACTGACTAGTGTCAGTGACTTTACAGCAATCCTCATACTAAGCAAGCATGCAGCGACAGTGGAGAGGAAAACTCCCTTTTAACAGGAAGAAACCTCCAGAGAATCCTGGCTCAGTATAAGCAGCCATCCTCCACGACTCACTGGGGATGGAGAAGACAGAGCAGACACACACACACACACACACACACACACACACACACGCACACACACACACACACACACACACACACACACACACACACACACACACACACACACACACACACACACACAATTGCAAGCGCCTTAACTAGAGCTCAGTCAGTTTGTGTAATTTCATCTAACGGTTTACATAAAAACTAACATTTATATACATGTTTGAAGCCATTGTGCAACAAAGCTCTGCCTGATCAACACTATAAATGATAAATGATCCGCACTTGTATAGCGCCTCTCAGAGTAAGGACTCCAAAGCTTCATCCATTCACACACATTCACACACTGATGGTGATGAGCTACGATGTAGCCACAGCTGCCCTGGGGCGCACTGACAGAGGCGCCCCACTATTTAATTCAGTCATTTGTTATTCTTCCATTCAATTACGAACCAAAACCTCACGCTTTATGCAAAACATGAAATGATTTTCAGCCTACCGATCTTTACAGGAAACATAAAAGCCTAAAAAACTGCACATAAAATATATTTAAAAAACAAAATTCACTCATCACTTAGAGCAGTAGTTCCCAAACTTTTCAGCCTGACAGACAGATGCTCCTTCGTATTTTTTACGTTGTTTAGAAATTTTCATTATATTTGGAAAGTTTTAATTTATATACAAATACATAAATCTCTTTTAAAATTTTAAGATTTACTATTTTTTATGATTATGTGGCACACTTGACTTCCACACCTAACGCATCGGCATCTGCCTCTTTTCTACAGCTTTTTTTTTTTACATTGTCGCTACGTCTGTCACGTTAGCGGTGTTTTACCATCATTTCTACATCCATCACGTCCCAGAGAAGGTTAAACCAACATCAAACCCAACGTCTGGAGCTGGTAAACTCCACACACCTCTCGTGCAGCACCAGCTGTCTGATGCTGCAGCAGCGTCAATCGTCCCGGCTGGATGAGTGAATTTCTTCATCAGAGTCAATGTTCTGCTTCATAATCAGAGTCAGTCATGACCAGATAAAGTGATCAGTCAACAAAGACCAGACCTGCCGGCAATTATACGTTTTATCTAATATTTACGCTCTTCATGCTGCGCGCGTCTCCTCCTCTCCCCGACTGGGAGCCTCTCGGCGGGAGGCGATTTTCAAGCTCTAAAAACTCCAAAACATTGCTCAGCCTGAAGGTTCCACGTCTCCACTATCTTCTGGTGTGAAGTAGTAACTTCATGAGGGATCATATTTGTAGATGAGACTTGTTAAAGTCAGCAATGAGGCTTTGACGCTTATAACGAGTAAGTCCCAACATGACAACAACGTACTGAAACTAGAACCAACACGCATAAACAGACAGATCGGTCCCGCCTACTTACACGGTTGGTCTTTTTTAAATACGCAGTAAGCGTTGCCTTTTTCGCTTCCTCCTACATCCTAGCAGCAACCATTTTGGCGCCTCTGGAGTCAGTGTTTGTTTACGTCATGCTGCATTCAATGTAATTGGAAAAAGGAGCTTCAAGCGCTTAACCTCCGATTTTGTTTTCTTTCTGGCCTTAGTTGCGGGGGACGAATCGGGGTCGATCTGAATCTGGGGGGGGACAGATCCCCCCCGTCCCCCACCCTATCTGCACACCTGTACAGTGCGTGTTTAAACTTAGATTGTTAACATCATATTCCATCCTCAAGGACTCCCTACCGAGCTGCTCTTATCTATTCCTTGCTTCACAGAGCAAGAGATGAACTTTTATAATGAAATCATATAATGAAATGAACAATATGGTTAATAGAACCAGATAATGAATGGACAAGGTGTTAAATGAAATGTTTTGATTAATCTGTGCCTAAATTAATAAGGATGAAAACAAATGTGCTCTCGCAGTGACCCATATATTTAATCAGTGTACGTGACGGGACAAGCTCACACACTCACCATATCTCCATGGCGCAAGTTAAAGTAATTGCATGCACATAGATATTTTCTCGTCGTCATCTTCGTCTTCCTCCGCTTATCCGGGTCCGGGTCACGGGGGAAGCATCCCAACTAGGGAGCTCCAGACCGTCATCTCCGCAGCTACCTCCATCAGCTCCTCCAGCAGGACCCCAAGGCGTTCCCGGACCAGATTGGAGATGTAACTTCTCCAACGTGTCCTGGGTCGACCCGGGGGCCTCCTGCTGGCAGGACATACCCGAAACACCTCCCGCGGGAGGCGTCCAGGAGGCATCCTGACCAGATGCCCAAACCACCTCAACTGACTCCTTTCGATCCGGAGGAGCAGCGGTTCTACTCCGAGTCCCTCCCGAATGTCCGAGCTCCTCACCCTATCTCTAAGGCTGAGCCCGGCCACCCTACGGAGGAAACTCATTTTGGCCGCTTGTATCCGCGATCTCGTTCTTTCGGTCACCACCCAAAGCTCATGACCATAGGTGAGGATTGGGACGTAGATCGACCGGTAAATCGAGAGCCTGGCTTTCTGGCTCAGCTCCCTCTTCACTACGACAGATCGGCTCAGGGTCCGCATCACTGCAGACGCCGAACCAATCCGCCTGTCGATCTCCCGATCCCTCCTACCCTCACTCGTGAACAAGACCCCGAGATACTTAAACTCCGCCACTTGAGGTAGGACCTCGCTCCTGACCCGGAGTTGGCAAGCCACCCTTTTCCAGTCGAGAACTATGGTCT